TGTTTTTGTCGCTTGACTCCTGTTTGTCTGCTGTCTGTCTGTGGGTGTTTCTGTGCCTACTAAAATTATTTGCGCTGTGTTGCGTCGTGTGCGTGTTCACCTGCTGTGTTCAAAAGGAAATGGTGGCGAGCGCGCGCATGGGCGTGTGTACCCAAGTAGGCCTTATATAAATCCATATATGTCCGCTGCGGTACTTACAGTGGCGTGCGGCTGCGGCGACGGGGGCGAGGGTGGGAGGGAGGCCGTCGCCGCGTCGTCGTGGGGGAAGGGCGGCGGCGGCGACGAAGGCCACTTGCCGGCGAAGGGGAAGGTGCCCTCCCAGGAGAACGTCGTCGTGGGCGAGGGGAAGCAAGCGCGCCCGGTCGGCGACGAGGGAGGCGGCGAGGGCGCATTGCCCTTGAAGATAGTGGTGGTCGTCGTGGAGGTGACCTTCTTCCGGTACACGACCGAGGTGGTGAGCCGCTCCCGGGCGTCGCGGTGACGCACCTTCTCCTCGCGCTCGTGGCACTGGACCTCCTCGTGGAACTGGTGCCGATAGTGCTCTACGCGCTCGCGGCACGGCGGGCTGCGGCCGGGGGCCTTTTCCTGCGGGCACACGGCGCTGAACTCCTTCCCTTGCCCTCCCTCTGCTGCCCCAACCCATCACACGCGGCGCCAAAAAAAGTCATTGAAGTGGTCGCAGTTCGACGAAAGGGCACGAGTTATGATGTGAAAAGTGGTCGGTGGTGGCGGAGGCTGCGAGGAACGCCCTCGGGCGCCGGCCGCGCGCCCTCGAGTGGTGGCGTCCGTCCCCCCGGGGGGGACTCTCTCCCCATCCACCTGTTGCTCTCTGGCCGCTGATAACTACCAAGAGTGAATGGTTTTGGAACCTAACAGATGGAGAGGAAAGGAGGGAAACAGGGAAGGAGGAAAAGAGGGAAGGAGGGAGGAGGGGAGGAGGAGAGGAGAGGAGGAGGGAAGGAGAGAAAGAGGGAAGGAGAGAAAGAGGGAAACAGGGAAGGAGAGAAGGAGGGAAGAGGGAAGTAGGGAAGAGGGAAGGAGGGAAAAGGGAAGGAGGGAAGGAGGGAGGAAGGGAAGGAGGGAAGAAGGGAAACAGGGAAACAGGGAAGGAGGAAAAGAGGGAAGGAAGGAAACAGAGAAGGGGGGAAAGAGGGAAGGAGGGAGGAGGGAAGGAGGGAAAGAGGGAAGGAGGAAAAGAGGGAAAGAGAGAGAGAGAGGGAGAGAGGGAAGGAGAGAAGGAAGGAACAGGGAAACAGAGAAGGAGGGAGAGAGGGAGAGTGGAAGAGGGAGAGGGAGAGGGAGAGAGAGTGGGGGGGGGGAAGAGAGAGAGAGAGAGAGAAGAGAGAGAGAGGAGAGAGAGAAGAGAGAGAGAGAGAGAGAGAGAGAGAGAGAGAGAGAGAGAGAGAGAGAGAGAGAGGGTGGGGGGGGAGAGAGAGAGGGAGAGAGAGAGTGAGAAAGAGAGAGAAAGAGAGTGAGAAAGAGAGGGGGAGGGAGAGGGGGAGGGAGAGGGGGAGGGAGAGGGGGAGGGAGAGGGAGAAGGAGAGAGAGTGGGAGAGGGAGTGGAAGAGGGAGAGGGAGAGGGAGAGAGAGTGGGGGGGGGAAGAGAGAGAGAGAGAGAGAGAGAGAGAGAGAGAGAGAGAGAGAGAGAGAGAGAGAGAGAGAGAGAGAGAGAGAGAGAGAGAGAGAGAGAGAGAGAGAGAGAGAGAGAGAGAGAGAGACCCATTGTTAACCGAAAAAAACGCGGTTTCGTTGACGCGACAAATGGTTTAACGAAGGTTCTACTCATTCACAAGTCGGTGACACCAACAATAGTTTTCGAGATATCTGTTACCGGCCATCGTCTCACATCAAGGGCCAGTTCCCCAGAGCGGAAACCCCGATGCATTGAAGGAAAACCAAACCGCGAGGCCATATCAATGCCGTCTACTAACCTGTCAAGCGACACTACTGTGACGTCATCCGCCAGGCAAACATGACGTGACGTCACTCCCGCGCGTGACGTCAGGGGCACTCACCTGCAGTTTGTGCTGCGCCGAAGTGACGGTGTGGTCGTACACGATCTCCTCCTCCTCGTCTAGGATCGGCGGGGGCGGCTCTAGAGCGGCGCTTGGGCTGGTGGGCGGCGCTTGATCGTGGGCGTTCACGCCTTGTGGGTGGCCGTGGATGAGGGCATCTAGCGCGGCCAGTGACTGCGCCCGTGGACTGAGAGGGGGCGAGATCACTTCAGTCAGCTCGGCCGCCTCAACCCTTCCCTCGACCTCCATCTCGGCGATGACCGCCTCTTCAGGCAGTGGCGCTCCTGGCTCCGCCCACTTGGGTCGGAAGCCCTCCCTTTTCACAGGAGGATCCGCCTCTCGCCCCTCGCACTCGGACACCACATCGGGAAACAGCTGTCTCTTCACAGGGGACTCGCCTTCCTGCTCCTGTTTCTCGTTAGCTTCCTCCTGTGCCTCCTTCTCCTCCTCTTCTGTGCCTTCTCTCAACTGCTCTCCCACTTCTTCCTTGGCTGCCTCCTGCTGCGCCTCCGGAAGTTCGCTCTCGTCCTCAACCGTCGAGACGATCACTTCCACCTCGGGTATTGGCTCGGGAGGACTGGCTTCGGAGTCCTCCTGGCGGGAGAGTTCGCCCTGGGCCTCGTCCAGGAGCGCGAGGTCTCCTTTGGGATCCTCGAGGATGGAGAGGTCGCGCCTCGAGTCGTCGTGGAGGGAAAGGTCCTCGCTACTCGAAACGTACACGGTCTCCGCCTTCAGAGCACTCACGACTCCGCCCACCACCACGGTCTCCGCGTCGCCTCCCGCGCCCTTCTCGCTCTCGGGAGCGGCGGCGTCGACGGGCTCCGCAGCTGCCTGGGCGGGGGGAGTGTCCTCGGTAACGGCAGGGATGGCAGGGGGCGGCACCTCTGAGGGGGCGAGGGCGAGCTCTTCCTCATCCGTATCCTTGGCGGGCGTTTCTTTTACCTCTTCTGTCTCCTTTGCCTCTTCCTCTTCTTCCTCTCTCTTGATTTCTTCTTTCGCCTCCTTAGCTTTGGTCTCCTTCTCCCTTCGGGGCGATCTCACCTTCTCCTCGCTACTCTCTCTTGCTCTCTCTTCTCTTCTGTATCTGTCTTTTCCTTCCCCGCTCCTTTCTCTCGGCCTGACCTCTCTCCTGAGGTCCTTACTCCTCTCTCTTTCTCCCTCCAAGAGTCTCTCCTTGCTACTTTCTCTCTCCACATCTTGCCTCTCCTTACTGCCTTCTCTCTCTCGCTCTCCTCGTCTTTCCTTGCTTCTTTCTCTCTCCCCTTCACTCTTTCGGTCTTCACTCTTTTCCCTCGCTCTCTCCTCACTTCTCTCCTTTCTTAATCTTCTTGCCTCTTCTCTCTTTGCCTCTTCTCTCTTTCTATTCTCGAGTTCCTCTTTTCTTCTTAACTCACTCGCTTCCTCCCTCTTCCTCCGGCTTTCTTCTCTTCTCGCGATTCTCGCTCTCTCCTCTTCCTCCTCTGCTTCTCTCTGTTGCCGCCTCCTCTCTCGTCTCTCTTCGAATTCTTTTCGAAAATCTCTTTTTTCGGGGACTTCCGCGGTCACCGTCGTTGCCAGCGATGTTGCCGCCGTCGTGGTCGTCTGCCCGCCCGAGATGGACTCCTTCAGCTTGATGTTCACTTCCTCCGTCGTCTCCTTGGACTGGCCCCACGGCTTCCTTCCGCCTCTCAGGTCGTCCAGTCTGCTGCTGACGACGCTGGTGGTGCTGCTCACGGAGGCATAGTAACTCGTACCATCTGGCTTCTTTTCCTGGTCCTTCTCCTTCGAGGAATCCTTGAGCACCACGCTCTCGCTCACGATCAAGTCAGCCTTCTCTTTCTTCTCAAGCGCGACAATGTTTTCTACAGTTTCCCCCTCTACCCCTTCGTGAGCGCTTCCGTTTTCTTTCACCGCCTGGCGGCCCATCTTGGCGCGCTCGGTTTCGGCGACGTTGATCTCCTCCTTGAGCGTCTTAACGCCCGCCGAGGATTGGCTCTCTTGGCCATAGTACTGTGGGGGAGACCAGCCCGACTGCAGGGTCGCTGCGTCCTCGAATCTGGTGGCGTCGGCGAGCTTGCCTTGCCCCTTGCCGAGCGTGGAAACGTCATCCTCACTGTCGTTGTGGCGCTGCCCTGTCCGACCTGCAACACAGAAAACGGACATAAATCAGCTGTGGCGATATTACCAGGGGGGACGAAATGAAATAAAAAGGGATCGTAAAGCCCCAATAATACATCAACTTACTTTCACCTCTTACCATGTAATTAATAATCAATCAGATCAACTTAATTTTAGTAAAATCCGACAACCTATAACTATAACGCTTATACGAGTTAATAAGCCAAATTTTACTAATTCATATCTTACTCCATACACACACGCGCGTATGCGCGCACACGCACTTGCACACACACACACACACACACACACACACACACACACACACACACACACACACACACACACACACACACACACACACACACACACACACACAGAGGTACATTTCACTCTTAACTTACAACTAAAAAGGTCGGCGAGGTGCTGAAAACTAAGGCACATTCCTGAGGCTGAGTCAAGAACGGCCAAGGGTGTGTAAACGTCCCAAGGTGAGTCAAATTTGACCCAAGTTGAGTCAGTAAGGGCCCAGGGCGAACAAGGAGCATCAGGCACACTTTTTAAAGGGTTCAGGGTCCAGTCAGGAACGAGGCGAACACTTTCCCCCCTTGACCCTCCCCGCCACACTCGCCTGTCGCCAGGGTGGGGATAAGGGTCAAATTCAAGGGTGTTGACAGGGGACTTTACACCGGGTAAGCTGGGGTTTTAGGGAGACAAGGTCACACTAACCACGTTTTCAAAGACGGAAATAAGGGGTGGGGGTGGAACAACACAAAGGTGAGGATACAATTAAGAAATAAAACAGAGAACAAGGAATGAAAGAGTGAAAGAGGGAATGGAGAGAATGGAATCAGCACCCGCACCTGGAGACAAGCGCGAAAGAGTGAC